GCCGGAGAAGGGGAGCAAAAGTTATACAAAGAAAAAGGGAAAAGCCGGGAATAAAGCGGTCAAGGGCAGAAGGTTGGGCGGGGTGGGCGGCAAGGCGCGGGTGTTGAGTGCGTTTTGGAACAGGTGGTGCTCCCAGTGCGCCAGGAGCGCACCCAAAGACCCGCATTCTTAGCAAATGTTCTTATTTAGAAGAGTTGTCTAGTGAGAAAAGTAATTGCATAATAGTATGTATTCTGATTTTTAAAGGATACATATATTTTATATAATATATGTGTGTGTGTGTATATATATATATACATACATACACACACACATATATTATATATACACACACCAAACTGGCTACTGCTGGGGAATGAGTTTCAATAGGTAGATGGATAAGGATGGTCTTTTATTTTTTGCTTTATCACTTGTGTACTGCTTGAATTTTTTTTTTCTTAAGTTATCATGTGTTATTTCTATAGTAACTTCAAAAGGCAAAGCTGTGCCTAGCGTTGGATGTTAGGCACCTTCCCCTAACGAAATTGTATAAACCACCCTTCACCGCCCTCTTTCTGGACAGTGTTTCCGCTTACTTTTAAAAGAAAGATGAAAGAGACAAATACACAGGACCAAAGGCCAGAAAGAGAAATTTAAAGTTTTATGAAAAAACAGCAGTGTGAGTCTGAATGCCTGGGACAGGCCACCATAGAAATGTTAGCTGTACTTCTGTGCTGCACCCTTTCTAGTTGACCTGGGCTCTGTGTCCAGGAAACACCCACACGAAAAAGCAGCACCTTTTCTGGGGGCATAATTGTTCTTTTCTCCAGTAACCTGTTGCCTTCTGTGGTGACAGTATAAGTAGAAGTTTGTGCACACCTATATTCCTATTCAGTTTACTGTGACATTCCTCCTATCCAGGCATTCTTAGCCTGGGGCCCAAGACACACTCGGGTGTGTGGATAGAATTCAGGCGTTCTATATATTTAGGTGGGAAAAAATTACATCTTTATGTCTACTGACCTTTAGTTTAAATTTAACATTTCCTTTATTTATGAATGTGAGTAATAAACTACTTTGGCACTAGTCGTGCTGATGACTTTGTCACCAATAAAAAATCATACTTTCAACTCATGTTGCAGATCTGAAAAAATCATATAAGTATCACTACTTAGAAATGATGGTAACAAATCTGTTTAATGTGTTAAGAGTGAAGCACAGGTATTACTGTCTTGCTTTTTAGAATTATTTTAATACCTATGAAGTATGATTGGTTATTTTATGTGTCTATTTTAATTCATACATTTAAAACTCTTATTCTGAGAAGGGAACCAAAGGCTTTTTCCTTCATGTATTTGAAATCATTGTTCTGAGATGAAATGCGTCCCTAGGCTTCCCCAGACTGCCAAAAAGGTCGATGGCACAAAAAAGGTTATGGACCCTGACTCAGCAGGAGTCAGTGGTGACATAGATGCATAAATACTCAGGCTTGGGACACAGGTTCTGCCACACAGGGATGTGGGACTTGGGACAAGAAAACTTCACGCCTGTTTCAACATCTGTCAGATGTTCTCTGATTCTGTGGCATCTGGGGTACTTTTTAAGTTCTTAAATTACTCTGAATCAAGATTAGCAGCCATCGGTCCTTGCAACAGGAAAAACACTAAATGCCATTTTCCTTTGATTTAATAAGTCCTTAGCAATTTTCCAGTGACCTCTACTTTGAGCTTTTCCAGCTTGTTAAATCACTGATTTCTATTTCCCCCTGTGGAGAAGGAGAGTAACACACTCGAGGATAAGTCAACAAGTAACTATTAAGCACGTCCTAGGATGGCAAGGCTACGTTTCAGAAGCCTTCTCTTCTCCCCGTTTCCTCTGTCTGCTTCTCACAATAGGATGGAGCCCTCTCAGAAGAGAACACCAGTTAGTTTATCCTGCCTAATCTTTTCTTCCCAGCTTGAAAAAGACCCCCCATGGGACTAGTGAATGAGCTAAAGCCTCTTTTGACAAGAGAAGCTTAAAAGTGACTTTGCTTCCACAGTCCTGGCTGCAAAGCAACCAGCCTTGGTGTGAGCAAAACTGAATAGTTTTTTAAATCCCCTTGATTTAGGTTCAAACTTTCATATCTTAGGTATAGTTGGATACAGGTCTGACAAAGCTCATATTTTCATTCTAGATCCAAAGGCTAGGTTATTTAGAAATAACTTAGGTAGATAAAAGGCAAGGGCAGGGCACTGTGGCATTTCAGCATAGAAAGAGGCCTTGGGGATCACCCCGTTCAGTTTGAAAGCCCCCTAGAATGCCTGAGTTCGGTGCTGTTTCTCTGCTCCTATAGCCCCTGTGCTTCCCTCTCTGTGTCACAGGGCAGTGGGCCCCTCAGTGTCCAGCAGTGAGCACAGTGTCTGGCACGTAGAGTCAGTAAGTGTTGATAGTAAAGCTTAGAGTACATGTGACTGTCATGGGTCCAGCTAGGAGTGTCTCCACAGAGAGAGGAAATAGACTTAAGTGGCTGATGGAGGGAGCCTGAGGCCAGCCGGTGAACTTGAGCCGCTATGATTCTGCTCACCACTGGCTTCTCAGCACAGCACTGGCCTCTCCAACCCAGGCAGAACCAGGAAAGGCATCAAGAACCTGCATGGGGAAATGTCCTGGGGGGCATATATCCTTGTAGCTTATTTTATACATAATAGTTTGTACCTCTTAATCCCCTAGATACTGCTTCCTTCTCAAACATAGTTTTGCTAGGTCTCAGAACTCCTGTTTGGAGAGTAGAGCAGTGTTCTCAGCATTGGGTACACGCGGGGATCACACAAGGGTGTGCTGCTTGGATCTCACTTCAAGAAAAAACTTGCAGTTCAGCTGCAGGGAGTGCAGTTAGCTGAGAGCCTTCAGTGGCAGTGCCCTCAGGAGGGGGCCTCCGTTCTTCCGGCAGCCCCCAGCCAATGAGTGAATGTGGCAGCGCTGCCAGGATCTGGTGATTTCTGCCCAGTGGGGTCTCCTCTACGGTCACTCTGCCCTAGAGCTCCCTGTTGGGTTGACTGCCGTTTTTCCAGGTCTGCATCACAGCCTACCCTTTTGTACCATATGTGCCAATTTTTAACCCTCCAACTCCTTCCTGCAACGTGGGCTGTTAACACAAACAACAGGTGTGGAAGGAAACTGGCACTTTGAGAGGCACCTACCAAGTGCCTGACATTCTACGTGGCGCTTTATATAACTTTTCTCAGATATTCGGGATGTTTACCTACAAACTCATATCCTCAAGAAAGCCCAAATAAAACTAGGAGATTGGGATTGACATATATACACTAATATGTATAAAATAGATAACTAATAAGAACCTGCTGTATAAAAACATAAATAAAATAAAATTCAAAACAAGAAATAGAAAAAAGGTAGAACTTAGGGGAAAGTTCAGTGGCATTGACCCAATCATTTTGGTCTTGACATGGTTCTTTTACACCTTCCTCTAGTCAGCAAGTGTAGCTCTGGACTTGGCCCTTGGTGTGTGGGACCTTCTGCTGTGATTTTTAAGTGCTTATGTATGTGCTGCCTCCTCCACCAGACCATCCAATAAGCTCCTTGAGCACCAGTACCCAGTCCAGCCATGTCCACAAACCCATGGAACAGAACAGGTCTACAGGAAGGGTTATAATAAAGCAACAAAGGCAGCAAGAGCCAAGAGATTACAGTAGAGGTTTGGTTACAGGAAAACAAGAGATCACTCCTCCGGAATATTCAGTACCTCACGAGTCATTTTTCTTTATAAATATATTTATTATTTTGTTGTATTTATTCCTCAACACTTTTATAGCCATTACTATGTGTCAGGCACTGTTATAGTGATTTACAAATATTAGCTTATTTAATTCTCCTAATAGCCTTTGTCTTCCACCAGTGGCTGTGGGCATGGGGGGCTCTGGGATGGCCTGGAAGCCTTTATAGGAATGAAAAGGAGGATTTGGTCTGCTCTTTAAAGAATGTGTAGAAATAGGCAAGAAGACAGCGAGGAGGGAATTCAAGGGACAGAAGATGGCATGTGTGAAGGTGTGGAGTTAGGAATATTTACTACGCTTTGTGGGCAAAGAAAGGGACCCTCTGCCCAGGTTGCTGAGACTGGAGCAGGCAGCAAACTGATAGCCATAAACCAGGAGCACCAAACGTTGGGTGCTGGGCTGTGGCTCGTTTGCTGATGCGTTATAAAGGTTCCCATTAACGTAGGTTAATCCAAGCCACCTGAACAAAGGGGCCTATGCCTCTAAATGTTAAAAAGGGCACAATTAAGAATTGGCAATATGCGATAATAATCACCTCTCCCAGGGTTGGAAAGGTCATCCAAATTCAGCCTTGGAGAGCCTGGGTATCTTTCCGCAGCATCCACGCCAAATCGTCACACACAACCCCCCCCACCCCTTTTCTTCTTTCGTCACGCTAAACAACCCCACTTCTGCTCCTCACGCAGCAGGGTTTCAAGGCTCTTCATCACGCTGTTCATCCCCCTCTAAATGTGGTCCAGTCTAGACATTTCAGCTCTTACACGGCGGGCCCAGTCCTGCAGACGAGGCCGGCCGGCTAAGAGGAGAGTTGTGCTACCACCTTCTTCACTCCAAATATTATCTCGTTAATGAAACCTAGGATCTCAACACCCCCCCTTCTAAAGAGTCTATATTCAACTCTCTATTAGCAAATATATGTTTTATTCACACACGTACTCAATCCTACACTGTGCCTGATTCTGAACAATTAGGAAGAGTTGGTTATACAAGTAGTAATAGGGGTATTACGATAAAACCACCTTTGAACTGGAGGCTTTAAAACACCCAGGGAGAGAAACGCTGAAGGAAGGTGTTCTCATCCTGCCCTTTCTTCTGCCGTGTTTTCTTCCCTTGTCAAAGGAAGATTCAAAGCACCCGGAAATGAGGCAGTACATTTCCTAAGATCTGCGTGGAGAAGATTAACATCTCAAGTTCCTGGCAGGACATGTGCTACCCAGCAGGCCTCTGACAAGGTATTGGCCCTCAGGGCCCTTTCTCTTTCTCGTCTCAGGAGCTCCAACATGACCAGAAAGATCTTCACAAACACCAGGGAGCGGTGGAGGCAGCAGAACGTCAACAGTGCCTTTGCCAAGCTGAGGAAGCTCATCCCCACTCACCCTCCCGACAAGAAGCTGAGCAAAAACGAAACGCTTCGCCTGGCGATGAGGTACATCAACTTCCTGGTGAAGGTCTTGGGGGAGCAAAGCCTACAGCAAACAGGAGTGGCTGCTCCGGGAAATATTCTGGGCCTCTTCCCACAAGGACCCCACCTGCCGGACAGGACTCTCCTTGGTGATTACCAGGTTCCATCATCTGGCCCAAGCCACCACATTCCGTAGTGGGGCTCTGGCTGTCGTCACCCCAAACAGCACTGGTTCAGAAGTAACTAGCTGTCGACAGCCTTTTGCATGTTCCAGAGTCAACCTGATGAATAATTTGTGAGGCATGAATTTAAGCTTCATAGGAGGTGGCTCAGGATCGGCTTCAGGATGCTGAAAGGGACCATGAGGAACGTGGCTTGGGTGTCTGTCACCCCCCACCCCCAGGGCTTCAGTCAGATCAGCCTGTCTCTGTCTATGTTATAAATCTGGGTTCTGCATAAGATGTTGTTTGAAAAAAAAAAAAAAAAAGACCCTTAGGTTAAAAACTGGTTTGAAAATCACTGTTTTACTCCGTATGTTTTCAGTTATGAGAAAGTTTTCTCAAAATGGATCTCAGATGGATGAGTAGAAAATGCTTCCCTCCGAACATATTTTAAAGTTTGTTTTGAAAAATGAGGCATATTTGATCAAGGGTGAACAATGTAAGACAAATGAAAAGATAGCCCTTGCAAAAACCAACCTGGAGACTTGCAGGAACACCTGTGAATAAAAGACCCTCCTGACATGTGAGGACCACAGGAAGGCAGCAGATACCTGTGGAAGAGCTCTGCATCCTCTATCTCTATGGACATGTGAGGTGTCTTGCATAGGGCTGTGTATGTATATGTTATCTCTAAAGCCAAATGGTGGATTATACCTGTGAGAGGAAAGGACTTGATAATTTACAAGAGTTCATAGTTTTCTTATGAAAACCAGCTAGCTAAAATAGGTTTTCTAACCCCTTAGTTTCCCATGTCAGGTATCAAAACTTTTAATTTAGCCTGAGTTTCTGCTGACGTAAGACCTGTAAAATTCAAATATAATGATGAAAATCTAAATATTACCATTTAGGGCTTCCCTGGTGGCACAGTGGTTGAGAACTTGCCTGCCAATGCAGGGGACACGGGTTCGAACCCTGGTCTGGGAAGATCCCACATGCTGCGGAGCAACTAGGCCCGTGAGCCACAACTACTGAGCCTGTGCGTCTGGAGCCTGTGCTCCACAACAAGAGAGGCCACGATAGTGAGAGGCCCGCACACCGCGATGAAGAGTGGCCCCCACTCGCCGCAACTAGAGAAAGCCCTTGCACAGAAACGAAGACCCAACACAGCCAAAACTAATAAATAAATAAATTTAAAAAAATAAATAAATAAATAAATAAATAAATATTACCATTTAACAGAGAGCTTAACAAAAGATTTAGAGTAGACAATAGGAATGTTAATACCAGACCCTAATGAATTGAACATGTGATTTGTTTTCCCTGCCATGGAGCATTAGCTCAATCTTACGCTGGGAGAGGTGGTACCCACAATGAGTGAAACAGCATGGATCTGGCAGAACTCACCCCCTTGTGCCACCCTGATGATGCTTAGATTCAAAAATGAATCCCATAGTTGAGCGCAGAATACAAATAATGTCATTTGATTGTCTCTGGGACATTTTATTTCCCCAGAGTTCTTGGTGGTACATTGGTTTTAAAACCGTCTGAACTACAGGCAGGAAATAGATGGATTTGAGATCATGTATACACAGTAGAGGAATTTAAATTTTCTGCCACTCTAGAAAGAAGGTATTTGATTTATGAAAGGCTGAAATGAGCCTCTTTGGTTTGGTGATTAGAAGAAATCTGGATGAGGCGCCCTCAAAATCTCATTCTCCCAAAATAGCAAGGTCATAATGTCTTTAAACTCTACACAGCGTTGACACTTGTAGAACAACACATTTATCAGAAACAATGCATTTTCCGTGTAGGTCCTTTCTTTAAACTGCATTCAATAAATGTCCCCACAGACCCAGAATAGTCCTGGGAAACACATAAGCACAGAGACCAGGGGATTTCCCCTGAATTTGCATTTCTTTCTCATGAGCTTATGTGGACTTAAATTTGTCCCCAAACTACCAGGTGATAGTACATCTCAAAGCTTTGATGACAGTTTGTCAATTGAGTAATATTGCTTATTCTCTCACCTGGCATTAACTCAAAGTAACACTTTTGACAGCATTTTTATATTAGCCTCATGTTGCTGAGGAAGGCAGAGAAGACCTCTTTGCCTGAACACGGGATTTTACTGCTCTTCTCAGAATGAGTGCACTTCTCTGCTGCTGGGGCCATGTCTGTTGTGCACAGAAGGCCTTTCCACTGAAAAGTAACCGAGTACCGCCAAAAAGTCGTGAGGAGATTGAGTATCATTAAACTAAATGAGGGAACAGTTATTTAAAGAAACCCTATAGGAAATTCCTACGATAAATGAATAAACATTTAAAATATTACTTAATGTAATTCATCTCTTAAATGATTTCTTTTGCAAGTTGGATTTTGGCCTATCAAGTTGTGTTAGGTTAAAGTGACTGTCAAAAGGAATTGTAGTTATATGGACCAAAACCTTGCCAAGATATCTGTGAGACTGGAAGCTAATTCTGAAATCATTCCACAGCCTTCCTTGGTGTCCTGTACTTACGGCTTGGTGATTGCAGTAGTAAGAATTTATGGTTCAAATGAATTCTAGTTCACTGATGGTACATCTCTTTATGGGCCATTTGCACCCAAAAGAAAACTTTAGACAGATTATATCATTTATGCTACTCTGTTACTTGAAAACAAGTGTTTGTTCCGCTATGGGCACCACTGGAAACTTCCAGAAGCCAAGTATAAACAGGCCCATTTATTTATACAGATCATTAGATTGGCTAATTCTACTCCTCCTTTTACAGAGGAGAAAACAGTCCAGAGGGTTTTGAAGTAACTTTCCAGAGGTCACATGGACAATTAGTGCAGCCCAGGACATGGTGTGAGATCTTCTGAGCCAGCACGTCCAGCCTTTCTACAGCCCTGTTCAGCCACTAAGGATTTTAGGATTGAAAATGGCCAAGCACCTCGTTATTAGACTCATCTCTTTTCAATAGTGTTCAGTGATCTTCATATGCCTTTTAATTGAAATTGAATTATTGTGCTTTGTAGAATGTGATTAGAGGTACCAACCAAAGATTTTATTTGGTGATGTGTTTTGTGAGTTTGTAATCATTGATTCTAAATTGCTATTTAACTATTAATTTATTGACAATAAATTATTTAAGAAAAGAAATTGTTCTTTTTTTTTAAGAAAGTATTTCACAAATTTACTAAGAACATCCACCCATTCTGTCCATCCTTTGAACCCCACTCCCCCGTTATCTTGAGTCTAAAAAAAAATCTTCCCTGGTGGTGCATTGGTTAAGAATCTGCCTGCCAATGCAAGGGACACGGGTTTGAGCCCTGGCCCGGGAAGATCCCACATGCCGCGGAGCAGCTAAGCCCATGCACCACAACTACTGAGCCTGAGCTCTAGAGCCCGCAAGCCACAACTACTGAGTCCATGTGCCACAACTACTGAAGCCTGTGCACCGCAATAGGAGAAGCCACCACGGTGAGAAGCCTGCGCACTGCAACGGAGAGTAGCCCCCCACTCACTGCAACTAGAGAAAGCCCGCACACAGCAACGAAGACCCAAAACAGCCCAAAATAAATACATTTATTAAAAAAAAATCTAGCATCCCCTAATCCCTTCACTTCATCTTTCACACAGCTTCCTAACTGTCCTTCTCAAATCACAGCTATGGTCAGGTCGTCCTCTGCTCTCAAACCTTTAGTGTCTTGTCCACCAGACTGAGACAGATGCCATACCCCAGCAAACCAAGCCCTCTGCAGCCTGGTTCAATGTACTATTCCCTTTACCTTCCACAATTGCCTAAATATTTTATACATGCTAATGAAACCACTTCACTTGGTGGTCCAACAGGCCAAACTCTAATACCTCTGACTTTACTCTTGTGAGTCCATCTGCTTGCACTAAATTCCACTTGCTACAATCCTTCATGACTGATCTTAAATACCACTCCTTCAGGAAGCTTGACTCATCTTAAACACCACCTTACATGAAGTCCTCCTAGATTTCCACCACTCAGTCTAATTTCTCCTTGTAGAATCATCTTATATGCTTCAAGACCCTTACTTCCTCTCCCCTGTGTTATATACATCTTGTGCATATTCTGTCCCCAGCAACAAGTTAAGATCTTGAGGGCAGTGACAGTTTATAACATTGAGTCTTCACAACAGCCCTGCCAGTGACCTCACTTTTAAAATGAGAAAACTATACCGAGACTAGCTCCATTAAGAATACTCCTCTAGCCTCCCCTGAAAGACGACACTGAAATGCAACTTGAACAGGCTGAATTTTCCTGAGAAATCCCAAGTCTAAAGCTCTTCTTTTTTTTTTTTAATTTTTATTGGAGTATAGTTGATTTACAATGTTGTGTTAGTTTCAGGTGTACAGCAAAGTGAATCAGTTATACGTATACATACATCCACTCTTTTTTAGATTCTTTTCCCATCTGGGCCATTACAGAGCATTGAGTAGAGTTTCCTGTGCTATACAGTAGGTCCTCATCATTTATTTTAAATATAGTAGTGTGTATGTGTCTATCCCTAAAGCTCTTCTTAAAAGTTTGTTTCTCAAAATATCCATTCACCAAGTCTCTTGCAGCACCTGCCTGATGAGGTTTCACCAGCTAAGAATGGCTTGAGATGACCCAAATATGTATAAGTTATGCACAACAGGCTTTGTCCTTAAAAGGCCAAAGGATGAAAGTGGTCAGGAGAATGGACAGCTTAACTGCTGACCTGCAGGCCAAAGGTTAGCTAAAAGTCATATCCTTAAATAAAAAGGTCAAAGATAAGGAGGGAATCTAAAAGCTCAATGGCAATGCAAAGTGGGGGATTTAAAGTGGCAGGTGTTAGGAAGGAATGCCAAGGGGAGAGTGTGGTTCAGGATTATAAGAAGCCAGGGCATGGGCTCCTAAACACACCCTCCCTTCTATGACTATTGGAGTTTACTATAAACAGGGAAATTTCTGTTCTATTTTCTCTTTATTGCTAATGACCTATCATGAGCATTAAAAATCACTAGGTTTAAAAGATTTTTAATCTCGATTTTAAAAAGCACTAGATTTTTACAT